TTCCCAGTTCACGAGCATGAGGAGAGAGAGCGGGAAGCTTACGGTTTCGGACCTCGCTTCAAGGATGGGGAAATCGAAGATCGTCGGAGATCAAAACCTCACCAAAGAAGAAAGATCTTCACTTATCCAAACTTTTCATCCTAACTTGAACGATGAAGTCGATTTCGAGTTCTACTTGAGGGTCAGAATCAGATCTTTGAATTTGATTCATCGATCCAATTTTTTTTTGTTGCTAATTTCTAATTGCGATGATGATGATGATGTTTTGGCAGATTTATCTTCATCTTCAAGCTCATGTGAACGCTGTAATCGGAAGCGGTGTGAAAAACTCGTCTGCGTTTCTCAAAGCAGCTACAACAACTTTGTTGCATACTATAAGCGATTCTGAGAAATCTTCTTATGTTGCTCATATCAATAGTTACCTCTCTGGAGATGAGTTTCTAAGCAAGTACCTCCCTATTAATCCTTCCTCTAATGATCTCTTCGAAGTCGCCAAAGATGGCGTCTTGCTTTGGTAATCCTCCTCACATTCTAATTTTTTTTATCAATGCTTTTTCTTCATCTCTCATATGTGTGATTTGATGATGCTGTTAGTAAACTTATAAATGTGGCGGTTCCTGGAACTATCGATGAACGAGCGATTAATACAAAGAGTATGCTTAATCCGTGGGAGAGAAATGAGAATCATACGCTTTGTCTTAACTCTGCAAAGGCAATTGGGTGTACTGTTGTTAATATTGGAACACAAGATATTATTGAAGGAAGGGTATGTGTGTGAATCACTCACATTTTCCTGAAATTTTGGTGAATGGTTATTGTGAGTTAACACTTGTGTTTATCTCTGATTCAGCGTCATCTTGTACTCGGTGTGATTTCTCAAATCATCAAGGTGAGGGAGACTCGTAATGATACTACTGCTATGTGTTTTCTTAAGACAACGTGTAACTAATCTTCCTTTGTGACTGTCCTGTCTATAGATACAATTGCTAGCAGACCTAAACTTGAAGAAAACTCCCCAATTGGTGGAGTTGGTCGATGATAGCAAAGTAAGTACTCTATACTCATTGTCTTGATGATGATCGATCGGTGTTGTTTAAAACAATCATTCTTGATACTTTTGGGATATAAACAGGATGTGGAAGAGCTGCTGAGTTTACCACCTGAGAAGATCTTATTGAGGTGGATGAATTTTCAGTTGAAAAAATCCGAATACAAGAAAACCGTCACAAACTTCTCCTCTGATGTAAAGGTATGTATCAAAAGTCTGATGATACCAAGTTATGAGTTCTCCAATTGCTTGGTTTGTGACTGTTTTGTAGTGTAAGATGTTGCATATAGCTTATGATGATGTGGTGTTTTTCTACAGGATGCGGAAGCTTACACCAATCTATTAAATGTACTGGCACCAGAGCACAAGAATCCATCAAATTTAGTAGCCAAACATCCGTTTGAGAGAGCGAAACATGTTCTCGAGCATGCAGATAGAATGGGATGCAGGAGATACTTGACCGCAAAGGATATTGTTGAAGGTTCCCCGAATCTTAACCTTGCTTTTGTAGCACATATTTTCCAACACAGGTGAAAGAAACACGTAAACGCGAAAAATATAGCAACATTATGAGTATATCCACCTCTCTGTGAAGTCTAACAAATGAGACCTATGTTTTTCTTTGCAGGAACGGTCTTTCAACTCAAACAAAGCAGATATCTTTTCTGGAAACTCTAGCCGATGACACACAAATCTCTAGAGAAGAAAGATCATTCCGGTTTTGGATTAACAGCTTTGATAGTTCGTTATACATAAACAATGTCTTTGAAGATTTGAGAGATGGGTTAGTAGTATTGCATTGACTAAAAAGTGAAATGTTTATAAGAATGTGGAATGTATTCTGACAAATCTGGTTAACATTTGCAGGTGGATACTGTTGCAGACAGTCGAAAAGGTGTCTCCAGGGATTGTGAATTGGAAAATAGCAAGCAAGCCTCCGATAAAACTGCCATTCAAGAAAGTAGAGAACTGTAATCAGGTTGTGAAATTAGGGAAGCAACTCAAGTTCTCTTTGGTTAACATTGCTGGAAACGACATTGTTCAAGGAAACAAGAAACTCATTCTAGGTAACCTACTTAAATTTCCTCATTCTGTTTTCTTATAACCCACCAAAACCAAAATCATGATAAACTTTTAAAACCTCTTTGTAGCATACTTATGGCAATTGATGAGATACAACATCCTGCAACTCCTTAAGAACTTGAGATCACATTCCAACGGTAAAGAAATAACTGACGTCGATATATTGGATTGGGCAAATGGTAAAGTTCGAAAGAACGGTAGCAAAACACGCATGCACAGTTTCAGGGTATAAACAACTACTAATACTCTTCTCCTTCTTCCTTTTTAACACACAAAATGCGTTTTGAGTAACCAAGAAAGATGTCTGAAAAAAACAGGACAAGAGTTTGTCCGATGGGATATTCTTCCTGGAGCTGTTGAGTTCTGTGCAGCCAAGAGCCGTTAACTGGAGTCTTGTTACAAACGGAGTAACTGGTAATTTACTTTTGTTTCCGTGTTGTTTATGTTTCGAAAAACATTCTAATAAGATACCGGGGGAAGGCTCAGAACTTCCACGGTTTATTAAAAAAAAAACATTTCTAATAAGAGGTAATAATACAAACAGATGAAGAGAAAAAGATGAATGCGACTTACGTGATAAGCATAGCGAGGAAGCTAGGTTGCACCATATTTTTACTACCTGAAGACATCATTGAGGTAAACTCTTTGTTTCCATTTTC